TTTAATTTCATTTTATAATATATATTTATATATATAATAATATTTTTTTATAATATATGTAATATAAAATTTATATTATATAACAATACATCTAATAAAAAGGAAAAAAAGGTTTTTGAATTCGGAATTTACCGAATTCGAAATCAAATTCGATCAATAATTCTGCTGTCAAATTTAAGAAAAATTCCGAATTTAAACTTTCGAATTATCGAATTCGAATTCGTTGCATACCCCTATATGCATGGCTTATATATACATCTAGGATTTAGAGATCGATCGATATTCAGCCCAACTACTCAATGGATCCAAAACAAAATGCGTATATATATATATATATATATGTGTGTGTGTGTGTGTGTGTTTGTTGGTTTGTGTCTTTAATTATTTGAAGTGGGGAGTGGGGACTGAAACAACTTTGCAAGACATCGTGATGAAACCCAAGTCATCACATGCATCTGAAACCAATAAATTTGTCGGTGTTTTTTGACATTGGCTTAGATGTTCGAAACTCCGAGCGCAAGTTACGCCCCGCTGTATTCACTGCCTGCATGCCCTTGACAAAAATGAGCCCATTACATGCATTTTGCTGCTAGTAGTATTTTACTCTAGGCTAGGCTGCTGGTATAGTTTCGATTAGCTAGCTTAGGCAGAATGCAGAAGAGAAGTTCAATTTTTAGTTGGTATTGTCTGCAGCGCAAGTTTATATAACTAGCCAGCCATTCACATGGAAAAGGGGTACATAGATATAAAAAAAAGGAAGAGAGTTTTGTTGGGGGGGAACAAGAAATTGTAATTGGAAAAAAACCAAAACTCATATTGATTTGATTCAGCCTGAGGAGCGAGTATATGTATATTCTTGTGTTGTTTTTCAACAAATATACTATTGTGAATGGAAAAAGAACTTGCTTGAAAACATCTGTTGAAGGATATTTCAGATATGTCAATCATAACCACGTTATCTTTGGCTGGAAAAGAGATTCATTCTGGACCATATCTTTCAGAAGAAGAAGAACCAAGGACTCTATAAACAATCTTATTATCAATCTTCATCTATTGTCACCTAGTTAAGCAAGAGTTAAGCCATGAAATTGGACTCGAAGTATCAATGAATTCATGTATTCTATGCTGCCAAGTAAAAGTTGCGAAGCTACATTGATCGAACCCTTCAAAAAAAAGGAAAAAAACCTTGCGAGGTTGGATATAGCCACTACTTATACAAGTACAATAAAGTATTCTAGAATGCTTTATTGCTTAAATACAATAAAGCATTCTAGAATAGTTAAGTATTCTAGAATACTTGCACTTAGTATAAAGTATTCTAGATTATGTAACTACTACTAAAAAATGAAGTGTTGATAGAGAGCTTTCCAAGTCCATATCTTCGAAATGGAATGTATGATCCCACTCATATCATCATCCACATGCTTTGGACCAGATAAGAAAGCTACTCCTGTCCGGTATAATTTATTGCTTGCTCCACCATTATGGATGATGCTACTAGAGTATTACTATATAGTATGCAGATTGATTGATCTGTGTAATGGGAGAGCGGAAGGGGGGTGGAGAAGAAGCCATCATAATTCGACACTTTTTTGTAAAGCCCCCACCACCAACACCAGCACCCGCGCCCCCAAATGAGAAAGTTGGAATGGATTGAAAGGCCAGCATGTGACTTTGTGAAAAGCTACTACTAATGTTGATTCCATGCTAGGGCTGCAAATGAATCGAGTCGCTCGTGAAAAATGAATCGAGCCGCTCGAATCAAGCTCGATTCGAGCTTGATCAATATCGAACTTGAGTCGAGCTCGAGCTCGAACTCGAATTCAAAATATTAAACTCGTTAGCTCGCGAACCGACTTGCGAGCTCGAGTATATATATATTATTTATTTTAATAGTAAAATTACATATATATCCTTAATATTTTTATTATTTATTAAGAAAAAATATTATTTTTATTTATTTTTTTAAAAATAAAATATTATTTTTTTTATTTTTTCCAACTCGAGCTCGCCTCAAATCGAGTCGAGTTCAAGTTCGAGTTTTAAATTGTCAGCTAGTCGAGTTCGAACTCGAGTTCGAGTTCAATAAAACTAAATCAAGATTCGACTCGATTTGGACAAAACTTGACTCGTTCGCAGCCTTATTCCATTCCACACATCTCTTTTAAGTTCTAGCCGACATACATACATACATACGTAGCGGTAGAGCATCACCAAGAAAAGAAAAGTTGTATTCATCAAAAGCATCCTTTTTCATAGAAAATTACCCCATTTTTTGAGCTAGAAAGAGTCAAATCTGTATTGGAGATTGATTGATCATCATCATCATTATCATCTTTTTTACTGTTCTTTTGCTTTCGCCTACTCCTTGCATGATGATCATGATTGTGCCTGCCGTATTTTTCTCACCAAATGCTACTTAAGTACCAGTAGATTCTTGACTGTATAGCATATGAACTCAGGCCCACAAACAAATATGTGGAAAACAAACTCCGTGATTGGTGCATGCATGAGACTTCTTTATATGCTTTCTCTAATGAAATTAATTGTCATATTTCAATTTTCAGGTTGATCAAGCTTGTATGTACGTGTGTTATTCCATTGCAAAGTAGTGTTTATGATAAATCCAGCTTGTACTACAATGAAAGAAGACTTTGGCATCTTGGCGTTTGTCTTCTCTCTAAGTCAAAAAACAGCTGCGCTGAAATCTCCGGCCCCTACTTAATATGTATTTGATAGTAGTTTATGTTTTAGATTCCCTTGCATGATTTAAGGAATTTTCATTTTCATTTAGGTAGTTAACTTTTCTGCAAACGTTTTTACCCATGATTAATTATAGTATTGTGCATGTATATGGAACTTATTTTGTAGGGTTAAAAATAAAAAAAATCCCCTATAGTATATCTAATACACAAAAAAATATCTTGTGATTTCAAAACATATAAAACGTTACCTTATATTTTGAACTAAATTGTAAACTAACAGAATTCATTAAAGTTAACGAAAATGACGGTCTCGACTGTTAAACTTATTGGATTTTGTTAAATTTACCGGATTCTATTTGTAGCATAGTCTATCAAGCTCATATTGGAACTAGGGCTGCAAACGAATCGAGCCGGCTTGCGAGCCGCTCGATTCAAGCTCGAGTCGAAATCGAACTCGAACTCGAATTCAAAATATTAAGCTCGTTAGGCTCCCGAGCTCGAGTATATATATATATATATAATATTTTTTATTTTTTTTAATTTTAAGTATATATATATTTTTAATTTTAAGTATATATATATTTTTTTAATAGTAAAATTAAATGTATATCTTTAATATTTTTATTATTTATTAAAAAATATTATTTTTTTTTATTTTTTTAAAAATAAAAAAATTATTTTATTTATTTTTTTCGAGCTTGAGCTCGAAATTGCCGGCTCGTCGAGCTTGAACTCGAGTTCGAGTTTGGTAAAATTTAGTCGGGACTCGGCTTGATTAGTCCAAAACTCGACTCGACTCGATTCGTTTGCAGCCCTAATTGGAACTTATTTTGTAGTACAGTCTATCAAGCTCTGAAGCTCCTATTGCATCATCCTTCAAAATGGACAACGCATGCATGCACTGGCCCAGGATTAAATGATGAGGCCCTATTAAGGCATGTCGGATGAAAGACTCGTCGCATTTGACCGGTGGATGGGGTAGAAAGCGTTTTACTTTTACCTCGCGATTTCATCAAAAGGAGCTAATAATTGCCCCAGAATTCTTATGATTAATTCTAGCAGTTTTTATTATGCTAAATCTATAACCTTCTTAATTAAGTAACACTACTGGTACTACTACATATTTAAGCTAAAACCTTCTGCAACAAGACTGATCATTATACTTTCCAAATGTTTTAAGTTCATTGAGATCACCAGGCTGCTGAATTAAGTCCCATATTGGGATAATTAATAAGACGGATTATAGACAGAGCTCATTCTGCAGATTTTTGTCTGTCCATTGAAATAAGTCCTCCATATAATCTGGTTTTCAAATTGGGATAATTTCAGAAACCTCCCTTGAGATTTTCAACAATTTCACAGAGCTCCCGTAAGATTTGGAAAATTACACTCACCTCCCTTGATTTGATAGTTTTAATAACAAAGCTTTAAAATAATATTGACTTGGTCAATTTTTTAAATGAATACCCAACAATACCCTTGTGCAATGAGTTTTAATTTATTTTCCTATACAATTAGAAGATTATTTAGTATAACTATAAGGCAAAGGTGCCAAATTTTTCATGTCCATATCTATACTATTTGATAAACAACTATAATAGTAATTTTATTACTATGATATGATACTTTTGATGGTATTTTATTATGGATTTAGATTTATAAGATAGAAAAGAAAATGTTGAAATAATCCATTTAGAATTTATGAATTTTTGGAGTAGTGAGATTATCATAATTTAGTAGTGCTTTTGGGCATTTTTTTTATTTATTGTTAATTTTAATAACAAAAAATAGAAAACAAGATGAACAAAAACATTGGATTACATATAAAATTAACTCGTCAAAAAAATTACTAGTTCGATATTTGGTTATAATAAAAACTAGAGACAACAGTGATAGTTCTACAGTTTTATTGATGAAGAATTAAAAAAAAAGGAATAAGAAGGGAAAAAAATGAAAAAATAATTTTAAAAATCATTCTAAATATAATCATACCAAATAAGGGAATTTCATTAAAATATTTAAGGGTAAAATTATCATTTTAAATGACAAGGGAGGTATGTGTAATTTTCAAACCTCAGTGGAGCTCAATGGAATTATCAAAAAACTCGGGAGGGTTTCTGAAATTATCCCTTCCAATTTTCTGTCCCATACATGCAACTTCAAAAGTATTGGAGTCGTTAAGTTTTGGAGAATTTCATTGGCAACAACTTTCCGGCCCGTACATATTTCATATATATATATATATATATATATTTGAAAGATATATTTGAAAGATATATTTCCCTTTATTTGCAGTTCAAGCATTAGTTTTGACACAGAGTATTATCTTACTTAACACAGCAATTCATATTAGTTTCTCATGAAGCACTTGATCCAAATTCTCATCTTCATCGCCAAATGCTGCAGCTTCTGCAACCCGAAAGAAGAAAAAGGACTGAGCAACTTTTGATCAGGGTTTGGGGTTCAAGGCTCGTCTATTCTGTCCAACATCAGATCAAATTACAAGAAGCAACAATCAAGAAAAGAGAGAAAGGAGGAGTATTGGACCAGCAATCAAAGAATCGAGAGATGAATTCGCTGAAGAAGGGTTCTTTTCGTCCTCTGGGGCTGCTGCTTGGCTCTCTACTTGTCCCATATCTTATCAGGATTGGATGCTACGGAGATGAAGAAAGGGGAAAAGGCAGCAGCAGCAGCAGCCAAAAAATTGGGATGGACGAGAATTTTGAAGTTGGAGTTGGGGTTGGGTGCTATCTGCAACCCATGTAAAGTTGTGGAGTGATTTGCAATTAATCTGTTAAATGTTATTGTGCCAACATTGGAATGGACATCAAAGTCTAGTGTAGGCCGACCACTTCTGCAACAAAACCGCTGAACTTTAACAATTCATTCCTCGTTCTTCTCACTCTTTCCGCATCGTCATTTTCACCACTCCCAGCCCCAGTTCCCCTCTTCTTCTCCTTCTCCATTTCCCCATTCCTCCTCTCAATCAGAACTACAGGGAAATTACATTATACATGACCAAACGCGGAAGGTGGCTCATGATTTTGGGATACGGGCAGTGCCCATTCTGATGATGGGGGGGCTAATTCTAATTTTCAAAACTACAGGGAAGCACTTCTGAGAACGTCATATTTTAAAGGAGTTCAGTGTAATTAACCCATCGAAGTTTTGGCGGAGCAGGAGACCCGCCAAATTGCCACCTTCCGAACATATCATTGCTAGGGTTCTGCTGCTGCTGATGCGACGGTCCTTCTGATGAGGTCAGTGATTTCTAGTACGCTGGTCTTCAATTAGGACTCTGTTAGTTTCATTGATTAATCGAAATATGCGTTCCAAACTGACTAAAAATGCAATCTTTGAAGCTGACAACTCACTTGAAGTCTCTCTTAGAGAAGCTTTTCAGCTTCTGGAGCCCCAACTCAGACCCCCTTTTCCTTTAAAACTTCCAACTCAAGAAGAGTACTTCAACCTGAACAAAGCAATTCTTTGTGGAATTTTATGTGAACCCCACTTGGTCAGAGTCCACATTAAGCACTTACATGCTATTGTCACTGATGGCTACACTTATTTTATATCCATGCTTATCAAGATTGTTAATGAGTTGTATGCCAAACTCGTTGATTCAGTGAAAACTCAGTTGATTTGGGTGACGTGTGAAATGGTGAATGTGTTGGGAGTTGGATTTGATGGTTTATTGGTGGCCCTTTTGAGGCAAATTGTTGGTGGTGACTTTAGCGGAGGAAATTTGTGGTTGTGTTTTGAGATGGTTAGTCTCTTTAGGGACAAATGGGATTGTTTGTTGGAGGATGAACCTCTAGTTTTGACCAGTGCTTTATATGTGTTTCTTCGTTTATTGGCCGATCATTGTAGGTTGCCAAATGACTCAAAAGTTGAAACCTTGAAGAGGCTTGAAATTGATTTTTGCATTAGGATGTTAAGGGAGAAATTTGGTTTGTGTTTGAAGATTGGAAGAGATCTTGTTCGGCTTTTACAGGACTTGGTTCATGTACCTGAGTTTCGCTCAATTTGGAAAGACTTGTTATTGAACCCTGGTGTGTTTCAGACTGATGCATTTTTAGATATCTCACAGCTCTACCTTTCAAGGACTTCTAGTAGGTATTTTCTGCTGCGGATAACTCCTGAAATGGAGAACCAGTTGAGGTTCTTGCTAACGCATGTTAAATTGGGAAATCAAAAGAGGTACCAAGTTTGGTTTGCAAAGAAGTTTCTTGGTGTCCCCGAGAGGGAGACTCTTCTAACTGACATTGTTAGGTTTATTTGCTGTGGACATCATCCACCTAATGAGATTATCCAGTCAGACATCATCCCTAGGTGGGCTGTCATAGGCTGGTTGCTAAAATCTTCCCAGAGGAATTATGTCGAAGCAAATGTTAAGCTTGCCTTATTCTATGATTGGCTTTTCTTTGATGAGAAGGTAGATAATATAATGAACATTGAGCCTGGGATATTGCTAATGATAAATTCCATTCCTAGTTATGTTGACATAACTCATACTCTTCTAGAATTTCTCTTGATGCTGGTGGAAGACTATGACATTGAAAGAAAAGATGTAATTGTCAAAGGGGTATCTTCAGCTTTCACTTTTCTTGTTCGAAAAGGTGTGGTTCGATCTCTTGATGCTTTGACTTGTTCTGATGTGATCTCTCCTTTTCTCAAGCAATTGTTTGAAAAAATCTTCAAAGACATGTTAGCAAGCCTTTCTGAGAGGGCAGTTGCCAGTCTTCCGCTTAAACCATTTTCTGCCCCTTCTTAACTGAGTCTGTTCTTATCACCACCTTTTTGGATAGTCTGAGGCTCAAGACATGCTTTTAAGATGCATTGAGTGATGATGGTGGTGATGTTTTTGTTTCATCTTTATGTGAAGAAGATGGAGGTTTGAGCCTGTCAGAAGTGGTTGGTCATGCTTCACAGGTAAAGATCTTGAAACACCAATCGAAGTTCATAAATAAGGACTCCCATTTTGAGCCTGTTATCTAGTCTTGGCATTCGCTGTAACTTTGTAGAATTTTGTTACTGCAGCATTCAAAGCTTTTTGAGCCTATTGTCCCATGGTGATAGTTCATGCGTCTTCTTAGGAGAGTTTATGGACAATCTGTGTCTGCTTTTTTATTTTTGTGTTCCCCGTCCCAAAAGCGTGACTGTTCTTTGTTTTGCTCTATCCTCAGTGGTGCTTTTCAGCAATAATTGCCTCTTGCTTTTATTTTAACTACAATAACCACTGTTTTCTTCTTTTTAAATTTTTGAAGTTCTTTTTGTCCTTCCTCTTTATCTTGCAAATTCTTTTTCTTGCCTTATTTTTCATTTTGTGTATACCTTTTCGAATGCCTTTGTAAGTTTGATTATGTTCCTATTTCATGTTTCAATTGCAAGGCGAACAAATTGGAATAGGATTATCCAAACTATCGCCATGGAATTGAAGAAGTCAAGTGACATTCTCCTTGAAGGTAATTCATTTTGATTAAGGTCTTGTATTCTGTTAGATTATACCTTCTTTCTGTTAGATTAAGCACAACCCACCACTTCCTCCGCCACCTCAATCTGCCTCTGCTGCAATCCCTTGTCCCAACTCCCCGACTTTAGCTCCCCTTGGGGGTCTGGAAAGGACGACAGTGGAACGTAGGAAATTCACGTCTCCTATTGAATTACTGTAGGAAAAATATATTAAAAGCCTACTTGATTGTACGAATGTGCCGTTGGGTATTAATGTTGCGGTGGAGAAAATGTTACTCCACCCTTGCCATCACTGCAAATTCTCAGATTGCGGAATATGCACGGTTGGGCCAAATTGACAATGCCCGAAGGGTTTTTGATCAAATGCCCCACAAAGGTGTTGTCTCCTGGAATTCCATTATTGCCGGCTACTTCCAAAACAAACAGCCTAGCGAAGCCCAGAGCCTCTTTGATCAAATGTCCGATAGAAATTTAGTTTCTTGGAATGGACTGATTTCAGGCTATGTAAAGAATGGGATGGTGGACGAAGCCAGAAAGGTTTTTGATGAGATGCCCGAAAGGAATGTTGTCTCGTGGACTGCAATGGTTAGAGGGTATGTGGAGGAGGGGCTGGTATCAGAGGCTGAGGCTCTCTTTTGGCAAATGCCTGAAAAGAATGTGGTTTCGTGGACTGTCATGTTGGGTGGGTTGATACAACAGGGTAGACTGGAGGAGGCACAGAGGCTTTATGATATGATGCCCGTGAAGGATGTGGTGGCAAGAACAAGTATGATTGGTGGGTTGTGTCAGGAAGGTCGGTTGGGTGAAGCTCGAGAGATTTTTGACAATATGCCCCATAGAAATGTGTTCTCCTGGACTTCAATGATCTCAGGATATGCACAAAATGGGAAGGTGGATTTGGCTAGGAAGCTTTTTGAGGTCATGCCTGAGAAGAATGAGGTGTCATGGACTGCTATGCTGATGGGATACATTCAGAGTGAAAGAATTGAAGAGGCATTGGAGCTCTTCGATGCAATGCCTATTAAATCAATTGTTGCTTGTAATGCAATGATACTTGGGTTAGGCAAGAATGGGAAGGTCACTAGAGCGAGGAGGATATTTGATTCCATGAGGGTGAAGGATGATGCTGCATGGAATGCAATGATTAAGGTTTATGAGAGAAAAGGGTTTGATTTGGAGGCCTTTGATATGTTTCGCTGTATGCAAAGACAAGGTCTTAGACTGAACTTCCCATCATTGATAAGTGTGCTTTCTGTGTGTGCTAGTCTTGCAAGTGTCGATCATGGTAGGCAGATTCATGCTCAGTTGCTCAGATCAAAATTCGATGATGATGTATATGTTTCCTCTGTATTGATAACAATGTATGTGAAATGTGGCGACCTTATCAAAGCAAAGCAAGTATTTGACAGATTTTCTCTGAAGGATGTAGTCATGTGGAATTCTATAATAACAGGATATGCCCAACATGGCTTAGCAGATGAAACCCTGCAAGCATTCCGTGAAATGTGTTCTCTAGGCATTGCAGCAGATGCTGTTACTTTTGTTGGAGTTCTCTCAGCTTGCAGTTACACTGGAAAAGTCAAAGAAGGGAAAGAAATCTTTGAGGCTATGAAATCCAAATATTTGGTAGATCCTGGAACTGAACACTATGCTTGTATGGTTGATCTGCTTGGCCGAGCTGGTCATTTGGTTGAGGCTATGGATATGATTAACAAGATGCCAGTAGAAGCAGATGCAATTGTTTGGGGTTCTTTCATGGCAGCATGTAGGAACCACATGAACTTGGACTTGGCAGAAGTGGCAGCAAAGCAACTTCTGCAGCTTGAGCCACAAAATGCCGGACATTATGTTCTGCTTTCCAATATTTTTGCCTCTAAGGGCAAATGGGGGGATGTAGCAAAGCTGAGGAAGCACATGCGGTTGAGGAAAGTTAGCCGCTCGCCTGGTTGTAGCTGGATTGAGGTTGATAAGAAAGTGCATATGTTTACTGGTGGTGAGCACATGCCGCATCCAGAGCATCCAATGATTGTCGAGAAGTTAGAGAGCTTAGCTGCATTGCTAAGGGAAGCCGGATATGTCCCTGATGGCAGCTTCGTCCTGCATGATTTGGATGAAGAAGAGAAGGTACGAAGCCTGGGACATCACAGTGAAAAGTTGGCTATTGCATATGGACTTCTGAAGTTGCCTGGCGGAATGCCCATAAGGGTAATGAAAAACCTCCGAGTTTGTGGAGACTGCCATGTTGCTATAAAGTTAATTTCAAAAGTTACAGGAAGACTAATTATTTTAAGGGATGCAAATAGATTTCATCATTTTAAGGACGGAGTATGCTCTTGCAATGATTACTGGTGAACCTTGAAAAGTCATTCTGGTAGCTTTGCAGAGAATTGGTCAGAGCATGACCTGTGCCTGCCTAAAGACAGATTTTGTCATATGGATATGCGCAACTGCTTGCCATAATGCTGCTTATAATTGTGATTATATGTCCTTTAGCATGGTCACTGCTGATTTATGCAACTTTGGCTGAAAAATATATTTGAGCAGCAGCTGTGAGCTGCTTGTCTTCTCATGATGACTGAAAACAAACGTCATACTTGATGGAGGGAGGGCTTTTGGTGCTGAAGACCCAAAAAACAATTGAAGTGGTGATGTGGCCACCAAAGATAGGCTGCCTTTAATTCCTTGATGGTGCAACCAAGTTTTACAGTAAAGGTTTGCTTATTTCTGAATATTCTGCTCTACATGTGTTCAGGTGTGTTTGGATTTTCAAAATTTGAACTTCACTTCGGTACTAATTGAACATCATTTAGAAAGCACATTATTTTGACACGTTCTTTTGCATTTGACTGTCTTTTGAGTGTCAGTAAGTTTTCAATAGTATAGTCTTTCTATCTCCTACAAGAGCTGTAGATATTTGGAGCCTTTTGCAATCAGCTTGTGTTCAATTTGTTACCAATCTTGTATGACTTAGTATTGCATTTGATACAAATCCAGATGGATAAGTCAACGTATTTTAAGACCATTCTTTCTGATTATGCTTTGTGATTCACTCATTCTTCATGATCAATTATGAGAAAGGTTCTCCAATACCTTCTTTAGTTTTTTTCACGGCAAAATAATTTTTCAGCAGTAAAAAGACATGTAGCTATAGCCTGTGCATTACAATGACATGTCTGTCTTCTGAGCCTTTTTTTTTGGGGTGAAGCATATCTGGTTAAAAATGTAAATCTTTATTGTTTAATGCTTCTATATCTCTGCATTCGTTACTACAAAAAAAAAAAGAAAAGAAAGAAAGAAAAAGAAAAAGAAAAATCATGATCATCACTTTTTTTCAAAACACAAATTTATTTTAAATAGGTAGTACAAAAATCAGTTAATCCTAATAATTTATTGGAAGATATAAAACATTTACTGGAGGCTGGAAACTAAAACTGCCTTTTAGGAATTTGAAATACGAGTTGAAGTCAATAACGAATATGACTTTTATTCATGTAGGAGAGCTGTTCAAGAAGAGCTTTTGGTCATTTTTGGATTCCCAAGTGGAGTGAGCTCTGTCAACGACCACAAGCTGAATTTGAGCTCGTGCACCCAATGAGCAACTAAAGCCTGTGCACAAGAACATGGGGTTAGATTAATCATGGCCTGTGCGTCAGATTTGTTACGTACTTGGATCCCATCCGCTCATACTACAGTGCATGGCTGCGACATTGATGTCAGATGAGATTGTGGGCTATGAAAATTGTTTAATTATTGAATGCTACATACATAATTTGTTTGAGTTTCGTGCTCTAGAAAGAATATATTATAGTTCAAGAAACTTGCAACTTTTTTTTTTCTTCTTAGCCGGAGCCCAGAAACTTGCAAGTTGATACGAGCTATTACTAGCTACAACTTGAAAGAAAGTAACGTTTGGCCTTATAATTGTTCTTTAGCCGTTACATTGAAAGGTCATCAATTTCTTAGTCCTGAAAACAATGTTGATTGCTTTATCATTTTCTTTTCCGCCAGGATTGCTGATCAGTTCAGTGGCGAATAAGCATATACATTTTGTGGATGAAACACCGATCATTAGTTGTAACTGTTAAGAATGAGATCCTAATGCTCTTCATGCAATCAGCTTGTTCTGGAAGTCCATGTAACTTAGAATGAACAGGTTCAATTCTTCGGTTTGGATGCCTCAACTTCGTGGATGAATGTATAAAACATATATGGATTTGGATGCTTAAGTAAAGAAACTCCCCCACAATGACGTTCTCGTTTGTTCTGTGTAATAGACCTTCAATCTTGCATCTTATATGACAATCCTCTGAAAACTTCCACTTCCAGTAGGAGACTTGAATCAAGCTGAAAACTGCTGCTTCGGCTGAAAAGCTTTGTGTCTCCTCTCTTCACAGTGTGCTTTTGACAAATGATAACTAAAAACGTTTCTCAGGAAAAATTTTGGCCATGTTTCGGGAGGAAAACGAATTGAATTATCTTCTTTCAGCCTATACTACGTAGCTTAAAAGGAAAACAAAAAAAAAACTCGTTAGCTATACATAACCTATAAACCTAACCTAGCCTAAGCTTATATTACCCAAAAAAAAAAATTTTGTGTTGCTATTGCCCAGACCAAGCATATGGAAAGATAATCAAGTTGTCGAAAAGGGATGAGATTTTTACTGAGGAATGGTGGTAATCATGGAAGAATTGAACAATTCAAGATGAGCTGAAAATTTAGAAGAAATCGGCTTTTTCAAACTTGTCAAAAGTTCAAAAGCATACGTCCACCGTAGCCCATCTTTCTGGTCTAAATAGGAAAATCTGGGCAATTAATGCACCTTTCTAGCTTAAGAACAAAAATAAAGGCCAGGAAATCATAAGTTCAAGTGAGACCCAATACTTTTCAGCTGAAGGAATGTGCTTCCAAGGAATGAGCTTCTTGGACACAAATCCACCTTACAACCTTGTCTAAGAAGAAGAAAGAGTATCTGCTCAAATAAAGTAAGCACCTGAAGTTCTCAAGATATCAGAAACTCAATCTTGCATGAAATGCTTAGCTATTGCAATCAATAGTAAGCAAGCAAACAATAATGTATGTGAGCTGAAGCACTCTGTGTTTGGTAACTGCAAATTTCAATTGATGACATTTAGACAAATCAACGTTATAAAGGGGTAGACAAATCAAAATCATGTTGTTGATAGTGAAGGGCACTATCTTTATAATCATTTGATTATATTGTTCTGCAAAGTCACTGTACCAAAAAGTATGCAACATTACAGTAAGTTACTTGTACACCCAAAATTTCAATTTGGGATCCATTTTTGAGAATTTTAGAGGAAACTCAGACATCTGCACCATTAATCTTAATTTTGTTGCATGACAATTTAGATGTTGGTGGTAATTATTTATGCATAAACCTTCATCATGTGTCAACTTATAGTGCTCAAGATGCCACTTCCAAAAAAAGGTGAACTAGTAATCTGTTTATTCAAAAAAAAAAGATAAAAAAAACTAAGAATCAGTTTGTGAACTGATAATTGCCCAGAGTCAAGTCAAGAGTGCTTTTCTACATCAAAGTCTGTTCCTTCCTTCCTGTCCCTGAGCAGAATCAAGTCAAAATTACATGAAATTTTCTCACTCTCTGTGATAGATGACATCTATGCATATCAGACCATCAAAGAGGAGAATAGTGTAGTCAGGAGACTGAACTAGTGACAGTGGAGTAATGAGATAACACAGAAAGTTAGGTCATCAGCTGATGCATTACAGTTGTTAATTGATTAACATGATAATAGCACTGCAACTAGAACTAAATAAGGGGGTTTCACATAAAAGAATGACAAAGTAGGAAATCTTAGTTAAAGTGCAGAAAACAGGCAGCTTACCAGTAGTGGAGATAAAAAATTTCAGCTGAATTCAAGATGTTAAACACCATTGTTTGGGTGCCAACATCATTCAGCTGATAAAATGCAACACCATACACAAGTAACTTAATGTAGCAAAACATTTGAGCAAAAGGTACACCTAAATGTTTCATTTGCACTCACATTGCCATCCCTTGAATTCGCTACTTAATTTCTTCATAAAATTAACTAATGCAAAGAATGTTTAAATAAAGCATGGTCAAGAACTAAACCAGGAAGTAGGCAATTCCACAGATTATAGTGCCCATAAAAAAATGACAGAAATAAAAAAGAGAAACAAGCTCAAGAACCTAACCAGGAAGTAGGCAATTCCACAGGTTATATTGCCCATTAAAAAAATGACAGAAATAAAAAAGAGACACAAGCTGAAGAACCTTCAATTTCAACAGCAATCCCAAAGCATACGCACTCTAAAAATCTGCTCCTTTTCATTTTTTTTTTCTTTGTTGCTCTTGATATATTACAGAAAAGATCATCTGTTTGTGGAAGTCACAAACTCATGAATTCCACAAAACCAATTCAAAGAGAAAAATGAAAATCTAATCTGAAAAAGTTAACACAAAGTCAGGAGGAGAAAAGATCAATTATATACAGGAATTAAAAGAAGAACACTACTATTATTCCAAAGAAAGTAACTTTACAAAAGACAACAGTCAGCCGATCAAATCAATCTGATAGGGAAGAATCATCATCAGCATCTGGGCGTTGTTGGTGGTAATAAAAATATCGAGAAGTGGTAGAGGAGGAAGAACCAGCACCAGCACCAGCACCATCATCATCATCATCAGCATCTGGGCGTTGTTGGTGGTAATAAAAATATCGAGAACTAGTCGGGGAGGAAGAACCAGCACCATCACCAGCACCATCATCATCAGAACTAGTATCATCATCATCATCATCATCATCACGGTAATAAGAATAAGTAGGATAGTAATAGGGCTGAGGAGGGACGCAGAGGAAAGTCCAAATGTAAAGAAGCAAGCGGCCAAGCTGTTGAAGAGGGAAGCGGATGACCAGATCCACCATTTGCTGGCCGTCTATGCGTTGATGCTCCCCGAAACAGGCCATTTGCTGCCATACCTCTGCGGAGGTTCTGGCAACTGAAACTAACATTACACTGTTAAATACCATTCTCTTTTTGTATGATTTAGAGTTAAAGAAAAGGATCCTTCCCTTTCTCTTTTTGTATAGACGCTGCTGTATTTTGGATCCTTCAAAACTGTCGCCTGTTTTATCCTGCAAATCGGACTTCTTGCACAACCGACGAGTGACGCCTGTTGTATCTGTCCGTATCTGCTCCGTTTCTTTCTTTTTTCACTTTGCCTTTTCTTCTTCTTATTTATTTCTGTATCTGTCTGTAATTTTCATTCTCGTGCTTGACTTGACGACAAGTGAAACATGACGACCCACATCACATGGGTTTGGGCCGAACTGCTCAACCACTTAGGATTAGGACAGTCTTTTTCCTGGCATGGATCAACCCATGCTCACTAAAATACTAGTCATTTGTTTTTAAGAGAAAGGGAAAAAAGACTTCTTTTTTTTTCTCTTTTGGAGCTCGAAGGAGGGGAGAAAAAAAAAGAAGAGATAAGACAGGACGAGTTATGACACAAACCAAGGGAAGAGAATAAATATGATATTTATATATATATATATATATATATTTTTTTTTCTTCCCACGTTGATTGGGAGTTAGGAAGGGAAGGGAAATGATTTTGGCATTATAGGTAGATGATTTTTGAAATGATGTTAGAGTCATATGGTATTATGATTTTTTATTTATAGGGAAAACGTGCTCTGAAGTTTCCTTCCATTTCTCTCTAATTTTGGAGACAAAATTTTTTTAAATCAATCTATCTTTCCATTTTCTTACTTTTTTTTTTCTCACTTAAAATGTCTAAACAAGGGAAAACTCTAAATTTCTCTTATTTTTCTCTCCAACTCTCAACTCCCAAACTCATCTTCCTCAACACTCATACACGATTTATAGCTCTCTGGCTCCCCCTCCCCTGTAGATTAGGGTAGCGTTTCCCTTAGTCCCCTCCCCCCCCAACAAAAAAAAAAGAGAAGCCATTAACCTTAAAGTATGGAGTATAGCGTTTTGAAATGTTAATACAAAATAGGATGGACGTGACAAGAAAAATATTAGTCATTTTTGTGTGTAGAGAGAGAGAGAGAGAGAGAGAGAGAGAGAGGTGGATGGTTGGAGAAATTTTGAGTGCTCTCAATCATTTAACCACATCAATTTTCCAAGCCACCTCCTCATTTTACTCACTACCTCTCTCAAATATTTACCAAAAGGGAAACATAAAATAAAAGAGATGTTAAAAGATGAACACCCTTTTTATTGGAGTCAAATGCTTGTGACATTTTTTTCTTTCTTTTATGCAAGTATATTTGCATATCTAGTCGGTCATGCCATGCTTCCTTAATCTAAACTCGAGCTTAACTTGAGCGGCTCTTTTCCCGAAGGTTTGAAAGCAAATAAACAGTCATCCCATCCCCCTCGCGAGTCTTGGAAAGGTTGGTTTCATTAGAAGATCAAATTGGTGGCTTGATATCATATCAGCACGAGATGATGTCTCGCAGAAGATGTAATGCAGCAGTGACGATGATATATACTAGTATGATAGTTTTAGCGACAAGCACAACTCTAAGATTAACAAATGCCGTTGCCTCAAAATCAATGTGCGTAGAGGGTTGCATGCCGATATGTATGGGGTTAGATAAGGCCACAGATGCGGCTTGTGAAAAGGCCTGCGCTTCAGGATGTGAACAATTGAAAGGTAAGGGAAGAAGTTATACTCTCCCTGCAGAAAACAGCAACAGCTAATTCCGATTCTCATTTGTTCGATCAATTATGTAATTAATTAGCTAGCTTGGTTCAAGTTTTTGAGAACCTGATCATGTAAACATCATCATCCTCTGCAACCATTGGTTGAATTTAACATGCATGCATGCATGCTTGTGTGTGTATGTATATATGTGTCGTCGATGAGAATCTTCCTTGATGATTTTCCCAGATCAAATAATTGTTCCACGGTACAATGAATGATTCTTTTTTTTTTTTTCTGTATATATATATATATATTACTTCTGTAGTTTGCCAGAGCACAGTACTTCATAAACGCTTGTCAAATTCCCTCAAAGCTCATCGTCATCTCTTCAAAAGTTCAACAAACAGTGAGTGACATTTGGAACTTTTGACTTGAGAGCCCAGTACTCACAAACTTCTCATTAGTCGCTGTTAATCACACCATACATATTACATACGCAAACTACACACATTTTTGTTTCCTGTATGTAGTGTTAATTTGAGTTTAGACGTGAAAGTGATCCCCTAGTGAGGTTGGAACAAGGAAGACCTTATTTGTTGTATGTAGCTCAAATTAAGTCGAATTAGCCTTTACGGGGTTTCAATGTTATATATAAGACTCGAGTTCGTCTAACTATTTGAGTTACTCGGCCTCCAGCAGGGAACTTAGCTAGTGACCACATGCGGTAGTATCTCGTAGGTCACTAGTTCGAATTCTGCCGAGTTAACATTGTTGTGTATTTTTGGACGAGACTTTGTACAATTACGTGAAATTTGTCCGGCAAATGTTTGGATACATCTTGTGTCGTCAAAATTTTTTTTTTTTGAATTATTTAGACTCCGTTAACACAAGTTCGAGCTCAAATTTTGACCGAATAAACTTGGGAATGATTTGATTGAGGTCAGTTCCTTTGCACTCCTCCATGCAAGTAGCCAAAGTGGTTCAACAGTTTAAAAGTTTGAAGGACTAAAATGATTGAAGTCAAAAATGAAAGAGTCATCTCAAACTTAGCAAAACATTTTAGGGACTCATCGAGCAATTTGTCCAAAATTCCACAGAGATTTTATGGGATATCCATCCGGGCAGAGAATTGAAGCACGCAGAAAAAGAGGGAAGGAAAATGGCTGTGGAGGCGATGCTGCAGCAGCCATTGAAGTTGAGGCACCTCCTCCATTTTGCTACTACTTCTACTTCTAGAGTGTTATCGGCGAACCCCATTCCTCTTATTTCTTTCAGAAGAACAACCCCTTCTCATCCTATTTGTTCTTCTGCCTTGATTGCCCGTTGCTGCTCTTCTTCTACTGCTGCTGACTCCACCACCACCACCACCGCCGCCCCAAAGCCCGCTGGACGCAGCCGGAGGCCCTCCTCCTCTTCTTCTCCCGCTAACACTTCAGACAGAGATGCCATTCGCGCTATCCGTATAAACAAGGCAATAAAGAGATTCTTTTTTCTTGCCCCCAACAATTGCATTTTCAATATGTTCTTTGACTTGGCTTTGTTGATAGTTTCTGTTTAACTACTTGTATTGAATTGGTGATTTCCTAACTTTAATGGTGTTATTTTGTAAAGGGGTCTGAGTATCTTCCTAATTTTGTTGCACTTCATCAGTAAGTCACTGTGGAACCAGAACCAAAAAAAAAAAACTCATAACACAACTATAAAACAAAGTGATTCTCATGCTATTTACACAAAGCAATAATATTTCGTCTTTGTGGAAAATGCTAGGCCTCTACTAATGGTAAAAGAATTAAAAAAGGAAAAAAAAAGCTAAAACGTTGTGATACTTTCAGCTGTGGCGAGTGATTGACGTACTGATATAAACAAAGATACTACTTTTCATTCTTGTGTTCTTAAAAAGGCCCCTTTGAAGTAGTTTGCTTGCTGCTGGAGTAATGAAAAGTTTAGCCTTATATTGGTTGGTCATGCAGCTAATAAATACCTTCAGTACCGGGCAAAGCATTACATGTTCCAAATGCAAAAACATTAAGCAACATCTGAGGTTTTGAGATCCCTGTCCTTGTAAACGAGATGAGTAATCATCCTTTTTTCTCATGGTGGTTTGCCTAAACTTAGTCTATTTTTTGATTAACTGAATGTGAGAGAGGGAGACAGAACGAAGTTTGGTGGTAACATAGTGTTTGGATAGCTCATTGATTCCAAATAATATTTCGCTTGCATGATAAACACATTTCCCAACCCACCTTTTTATATTCCCAACTACTTTTTAATCTCACATACATCACATCACAAAAAGTGCTACAGCAATTATTTTAAATAATACTCTATCTAAACACACTTGCCCGCCTGCCTGCAGGTACAAGAGTTGAGGAGCAAGGGCTTTGAGCCATATGCTTACCAGTGGGATAGGACTCATACAGCTAATCAGTTACAAGAAATCTATAAAGATCTGGGAAATGGTGAAGAGTCAAATTATGAGGGTGATAATGTCTCGGTGGCTGGAAGAATTGTAGCTCGCAGAACCTTTGGAAAGCTTGCTTTTTTGACTTTGAGGGATGATTCAGGGACAATCCAGGTATGTGTTACTGCAAGGTTCTGGTTAATTTCTCTTAGGACATTTTTTTCCATAGTTTTACAGTCCACAAGAAATATGTCAATGAAATTTTAATCACCAGCCAAGTTTTGAACCTCCTACACAAGTTGCCCACTTAGTGAGAGTTAAACTCTGCCCTGTGACAAAATCCTGTATGTCTACTGTACGGAAAAAGAGACAACTTCTGAAGCCTTTTTCAAAGCTTAAAGTTTTGTTATGCAAGATGGTCTAGGGACAGTGATGTGAATGAATTATTTCTATCTATCTATCTATATATATATATATATATATATATATATATGATACTTGATAGCACACCTATATCATTGTGACAGCAATTATAGTTTTGTTTTGTCGAGTATAGCGGAAACCTTGTCTCTTTATTCCGCTCATGCTGACAATTCACTTTCTATTTATTGTTTTCCTGATAGATAGTACATTCTATGAGATCCGTGGGTTTGAAATTGTTAAAATAAAGACTAAGTTTTACTTTGAGGATAATTTTACTGAGAGTTTCTAATAGAGAACCTTGATTTGTGCTCTGGACATTTTAGTCTACTCTTCTTTTTTTCAAGATATTCCTTTTCTTAATAAGTCTTTTTTTGAATATATCTCAAGTTACATTATGTAAACAATTTATTGTTGTTTTAGCTTTACTGTGAGAAGGAAAGACTTGCAAATGAGCAGTTTGAGCAGTTGAAGACAGTTCTTGATGTAGGTGATATAGTGGGCGCTAGTGGCTCAATCAAGCGCACAGAAAAGGGTAAGTTTTCACTGATATTCCTCTCTGTTTTTCTTTGCATCATCTTCCAAATTGTTTGTGAATTGTACGCTATGTTCTTTAGGTGTTTAATATTGGCAGAAAACCTTAATCTGTTAGCGTAACTCTTTTGGTGGATGCTTGTGGTGAGTGAGGGTACTATTGGTAGTCATTTAGCAGTTTCGCATTTCATATGATGTTAAGCAACTAGATAGATGGTATGCTATTAATTTTGTGACCCTAAAGCTTCTAGATTGTTTAGATAATCAGAGCTTTCGCCTGCTTACTTGGGAAAGATGTTAAACTGCACTTGCGGTTCATCACCCTACTGGAGAACTCTGGGTATTGATTGAGAGTCTCCAGTAATCCATAGTTTGGAGAGTAAAAATGATAAATGAAGAACAATCTTGTTAAATTTAATCTTATTCTGGGTGATGACTAGGGCTGCAAACGAGCCGAGTCGAGTCGAGTTTTGGACTTATCGAGCCAAGCTCGACTTAAAAATGGGTGAGCTCGAGTTCGAGCTCGAGCTCGACGAGCCTATAAGAATTGAGCTCGAGCTCGACTCGACTGAAAAAAGCTAAGCTCGAGCTCGACTCGTTAAGGCTCGCGAGTTAATGCTCGATTTCTGGCTCGCGAGCAGCTCGATTTGTGAGCTCGAATTTTTGACTCGTTAACGGCTCGTTAGCTCGAATTTTGGGAATTAATGTAACAAAAAAAAATCATTTGATTAACTAATTCCTAACCAAATTATGAGCATAATCATAGCTTACAATTCATGCCTATAATTGACCATAATTTTTCACATTATCATAATAAAAAAAGGCCTACAAATTTTTCACTAAATACAATCATAAATTTAGAAACTTATTGAATTACAAATTACAAACTAAGCACAGTCATTGAAGTCATTGAAGTCACGAACTTCTTCTCTTCTTAGAAATGTCAGAGGATTCATAGTCCCAGCTCCAACCTGCTCAATACGTCCAAAAGTAAATAAGTGCCAATCAAGGAGCTATACAATAACACCATTTCTATCCTAACAAGGATATAAACAGCAATAAGTTGAGGGTTTACTTGTAATATTCTTGCCATTTCATTCTTCACATGAAGTGCAGATTCAATATTCTGCTATAGATTCTCTAGTGTGCTGTCTTTTACCTTATGATAGTCTAGTCAAGATCCTTGATTAGTTAATATATATATCTGTCATGTTCTGAGCTGTGTGCTAATGACGTTTTTGTCCTCGTGCCAATTACTTTTTTGACCTTTAAAAACTGTCAGCAATCTGTCACAACTCTTTATAGAAACTATACTTGTAGTTTGATCATACTTCCAATACAACAATATATGGCAGTCTAGCCGCACCAGGAAAATAAATACTTACATCAGTTATTTCTGTTTTATTTATAAATTCAAGACTTCCCGAGTAACATTGGAATTATAGCTAGTATGGAGATTGCACTAGTACTACAGGGTTCTTTTGGGATGATTTGTGTGCTTAAGATCAATCAATGTTTGGAGATGCAATGCGATTCTGGAACACTTTCAGTAATGTTAGTACTAATCTAGTCATAGCAGATGCAGAGATTACCCAGGCTTATTCTGCAATGATTCATTTACCTTAGAGCAGTTAAATGTGGTTGCTGCAGGACTTTGTGTGCTAATCATGTAACTTGTATTCTAAAACACTAGTCACCAAACTGAACCAAGCTGGTTGTTGTTGATCTGTTTTAATTTGATCAGCACAAACTCAACTAATTGCATGCTGAGAAAATTTTCTTTTACTTCTAATTGCATGCTTCTGCAAATACTCAACTAAGCCAGACACGTATAGAACTCAAAAGAAAATTTGACAAGCAGCACAAACTAGAAGCTTACAATCTTGGTACTGAAAATGTAGGTGAAAAAACGCACCTACAGCCAATAATGCACCAATAAGCTGCAACTGCTGCACAGCTAAGAAAATCAGGCAAATAACTTCCATTTTAGTTGCAATGAAACCAGCCACCAAATAAATCATATACATATATAAAGAAACCAGCAGCCAAAAAACTGAGAATATAGATTACCTAAAACATGAAAAAGTTCAAGGAATAGGCAATGAAATCTCTTGCGCTGACTTCATTTTCTGCAAAGTAAAAAGAAATAATAAAGACCAAGATTAAGCCAACTATAAAACATATTGTAATAGATGAAAAACGTAATTTGTAACATAATTACCTTATCCCTTTTCTTCACCCCGTGTAGCCTACGACACCAATCCCCAGCACACATTAACATCTCTACAGTTTCTGGAGCTAAAGAAGCACGGTAGGAGTCAAGCACTCTAGTTCCAGCACTAAATGTCGCTTCCGACGCTACGGTGCTAACAGGAATGGCTAAAATATCCGCAGCCATCTTAGGCAAAATCTTGTATTTTGTTGTGCTTTTCCACCATTTCAAAGCATCTAAGTTGACAATATCCAAGCTAGACTTCTCCATAGCACTGAGAAGGCCATCTTCAAAGTAGATATCTAGCTCATTTTTCTCCGGTTGAACGGGTTCCACAGTAGCAATGTGAGATAGAAATTCACACATTCCAGTAACATGTGTCATTGTAGAGGATGAACTATTGCTACTCTTGCTACCTGGTTCATTTGCCACTACTTGAGAGCTTCCTCCAGAATCTCTTGAACTTGAAACATGCATCTCCACATACTCGGCATATAAATCATACAAAGCTTGCCGGACTTTATTTATATTCGCTTGCACTTCATGTGGAGGATATATCAGTGGAAAGCAGTAGTTGATAACTCGCATCTTGAGCCTAGGATCCAAGATGGCTGCTATGGACATCATCAGGTTACACTCACCCCAATACTTGTCAAATTTCATCTTCATCTTCCAAACCATTGCTTGAATAAAGCTGTCTTCATCATTTGCTTTGCAATCTAGAAGCGTTTTTATCCGACAAACTTCATTTAAATATAAATTAGCTGTCGGATAATCACTCCCAGATATTATATGAGTCGCATTCCAAAAAACTCCTAAAATACTGCACACCTTTTTTACCTTTTCCCAATCTTCTGTGGAAGGACAGAAAGTATAGCTTGGCTCTCTGTCTTTGAATCTCGGGAACACCTCATTGAACTTGAGAGCACAAGCTAGCATCTCATAGGTCGAATTCCACCTTGTTTTGCAGTCATAAATCAGCACTCTTTCAGGCAATCGTAGCTGGTGTACAATTTCACCAAAGATCAATCGCCTCCCTTCAGTTTTGTTTACAAACTCTACACTTGCCCTTATGTCATGAATTATTTCTCCAATTTCACTAAGGCCATCTTGAACCATCAGGTTAAGTATGTGAGCACAACATCTCACATGGAATAACTTTCCTTTGGCCAACAAGCACTTGTTTCTCGAGAAGGTGTCCTTCAAACATCGTAGTGCGGTGTCATTATTTGACGCGTTATCAACTGACACTGTATAAATTTTGCTCTCAATGCCCCAATCCAACATGCATTTGTAAATAGCATCTGCAATGGCAATGCCCGGACGTGGAGGGGGAACATGCACAAAGTTGAGAACCCGTTTTTGTAATCTCCACTGGCTGTCAATCCAATGTCCAGTTATAACCATGTATTCAATTTTTTGGTTCTTGGACTTCCAAAGGTCTGTGGTCAAGCTGATTTTCTTGACTTTACTTAACAAATGCTTCAATTTCTGCTTTTCTCTCTCATACACAGAAAGACAATCTTTCTTGTTGGTAGTCCGACTGATTTTTTGCCATTCAGGCATCCCCTTTTTCATCATTAAGTTGAAGCCATCTTCCTCCACAATTGAAAAGGCATGCTCATGCATAAGCACCCACTCAGCTGCGCTTTGTCTCATGGCAGCCATGTCAAACTTGCCAGTATGAAGGAGGGAATGAGCATTTGAGCTAGAATCAGCGGCTGGAAAATTGAGTTTTTGCTGGCGTGCCTCTATTATTTTCAGCTTCTCCAATCGTTTTGGACAATTTTTCCGATGCCTTAACAAACTTGAAGTTGTACCGGTCTTCGTCTTTTTGAATCTAGACTGGCAATGCTTACACTCTGAGTAAATTGTCTTCTGAGGCCCAATTTCCACATCTTCGAAATCATCCCATGCTTCAGATTTTCTGGCTCTCTTTTTCTTTTTAAAAGCGTCTAGAGTATCACCTTCAATAGTATCTTGGTTTGATCTTTGAACAGGTGCTTGTGTATCACCTTCTAACTGCTCGTCTTCGCTTCCTAATTCTTCATCGCCAAGAGAGTATTCTAGCTCTTCCTCGTTGTCATTTTCACCCTCTGTATCAATGATATTCACAGGACTAGTGGAATTCGCACCAGTCCTACCTAGCTGTGAAGACGCATCTTCGGCAAACTTATCCATATTATGATCCAACTATGAACAAAGGAAAATAACAAAACATGTTTAGACAGCCATCTTTTACTCTCAAACATTCAATGCTATAAAACACATAGAACTAACAAAAAAATAGCACTTAAGCAGCCCCAAAAAAATAGCACTTAACTGCAAAAAAAAAGCGCTCTAGTTCCACCACTTAACATTGATCAACAATGCTAACATTTCAGCACAATAATAACATTTCAGATACATTGTGAGCTCAAGAGGTTCACCCAATAACAATGCCAAGTTTTATTTCCCTGAAGTTTACTAGAGACACATTCACGGTAAATAGCAGCAAGCCCCTGCTTTTTCATCAGGTTATACTACCGACAAGTCCAATGAAAAACCCCAGGCCTCAGAGATCTTGGTGGATAGAAAATCATCAAGTGGGTAGATAAATTACCCATCAAGAGTAGCAAATATCTATTTCTCACATCACAGGCCCTTCTCTTCAATTTTTGAAAAATTGCTGGAACATTCCACTCAGATGCATCATGTCATCTGTTCACCTCAATTTATTTATGACTTTTTAGTGTAAAAAACAAATTTAATTATAGGATTGTTTTTTCCAACAACTGAATCTTGGACCTCAATCGATGTAGGGATATTTGTTTGCCTAAAGGAAAAGAAAAACAACTTAATCATGAACCTGAAGTTAAAAAGTTAACTACTAACCTAACCAATGTAAGCAAAATATATAACATTTGTATGTAGCCTTCAATACAAATTATAAAATTAAGAATATCAAGTTGAACAGAAGTCTACAATAATTTTCTAAATCCCAAAATGTCTAAATCTCAAATCCAAACCTCAAGATTTGAAAGATATTCGTAAGAACAGCATTTTACGAAGTTTCTTATTATCATTCCCAGTAATCTTTATATATGGAATTGGAGGATCAGATGCATTTTTTAGGCTTCCAACTTCTGCTCTAGTTTCACCTGAATATTACTGCCTTTAGATGTTTTTTAAATACAGATACATGGAAATCGTACGTGCAAAAGGGTTTGCTAGTAAATGACCAAAATCAAATACGTTGTGAGCATTGGAATTCCAAATTTGGTAGTGATACAGAAATCTGAGACATCACATCTTTGGAAAATTGGATGCTTTTGCAATCTTACGAACATCATCAAGGTTGCATCAGCAATTCTTACGGAGAATGATAAATGGGAATCCGTTTGATTTTTTCATAACTCCCATGATCACCAGTTCACCACCACTACCCCAACTGGGCTCAAATCTTTGCCACAGCAAGACATAGTAGCAAATCAATTTAAGTAGGAAACGATAGTTTTTACATGTTATTTTCCAAAACTATATATCAAAAGACAAGAAAATTAGTAGATAAAAAAATTTAAAAAAAATTGTATCCTTGTCACCAAAAAATCCTAAAAGCATAGGTAACAACATACGCAGGTGTGCAAAAAAAAGAAAAAAACAATAATTTGAGCTCAAAAATGCATCTATTCCAGCTAAAATACCAGTTAAATTAACTAGAGGGAAGCAACAAACTTCAGACAAGAGAAAGGAAGACGGAGGGGAAGGAATACCGAACGGCCCGAACCAACCTTAAATTGGAAATCAAATTGAGGGCTTTAAGATGCGCCGTGGAGGAAGACAGATGGTTAGCAGTCCTTAAGACGCACCGTGAAGGAAGTCAAGCCTCTGTCCGAATACAGCTGAGCCAACGACGAAGGCGAGTTGCAGTCGAATTGCTTCGAGAGGAAGAAGGTTTCTCTCGAATGAAGTCGAATTGCAGTCGAATGAGGCCTGAACGGTAGCAGTGGCGGTGTCGCGGTGGTGGCTGTGGTCAGCGCGGTGCACTCGTGGGTGGTGGCGGCGATGGCTAGGGCTTGAGAAGGTGTGAAAGAAAGAAGGAAAGAATGTGGTAGAGCCGTAGGGGTCCAGGTCCTAGAGGAGAAGTAATAAGAAATGGAATTGGGGAAAGTAATTTTTGCTATGAGCGACAGAGCGAGCCTCCGTCTGAATTCTGATACTCGAAGTCGAATTCCATCCCAATTCCCATGTTATAACTTAGTAATTAACTATATAAATAAGGGCATTTTTGTAATTTTACAAAGCTCGTCGAGCGGCTCGACGAGCTAACGAGCCTAATAGAGGATGGCTCGAGTTCGACTCGATTTATAAACGAGCCGCTCGAGCTCGACTCGAGTTCGAATTTGACCGAACTCGACTCGAGCTTTGACTCGAGCGGCTCGCGAACGGCTCGCGAGCGGCTCGAATCGTTTGCAGCCCTAGTGATGACCTCTGTGGACTATAATTTTTCTAGTTTCTAAGTTATTGTTGAATTCCTTACTATTGATGTACCTATCATTTGGATTCTATGATTCTCAAATTGTTAAAGTCTGAAAGATTTGCTTTTAACACTGTCTTTGGTTTTTCAAATAGTAGTTAGTTAGGATAAGTTATAGCTATAGTTTTTGTTAATGGTATGACATAGGATTACTCAAGGTGCGAGTATCACTCAACTTAGATTACTAAGTTGCTTTATATGCATTGGATTGTGTCCAGTAAATTGTAAAGTTACCTTACAATTTTATAGTTATCATCCTTATGAAATTTCGAGTTGCTTGGAGCTCCTTTGGAAATACACGCATATATCAAAATGGTGACCTAGCATAAACTCTTACAGATGTGTTTTTTCAAATACGATGAACTGCTTTGATTTTTATTATCTGAAATTCAATAGGTATGATCCACTCTAAAATTTAACAACTAATGTTAATTTAGTAAACCCATAGTCTAGTAAGTTACTTGGTGTGGAAATTATGTTGTTTATTTGCTGAATACGGGTTCATCCTTTCTTGTCATTGTTGTTTTTTGTACTAAACAAGCATGTATTTCATGATTCTTTGCTGTTTCTAGTGATTTCTCTGCCTTTCATAACTTTTTCTTTTCTTTTCTATAGGGGAGTTATCAGTGCGTGTGATCTCATTTTCAATTCTCACCAAGTCGCTGCTGCCACTGCCGGACAAATATCACGGTCTAACTGATGTTGATAAGCGTTACCGCCAACGGTAAGAGTCTTTCCCAAACCCATGTTAAACAATGTAGATATATATATATTTACGTGGTCATGCATCAATTAAACATTTCCCATTCTGCTGGCGCATGAACATGTTTCGAGATTTTAGTGACAGTTGCATGGTTGGAAAGGACCTGGTGTTGAAGTTCATTCTTCCACCTAAATGTGATGTCATCTGGATGCATGGATATACAGTCTTGCGAGGAAGACATAACAAATTTCCCTCTTAGCATTTGGTTCATTGAACGTCACTCTCTCCCTCACAATATCTGGCAAACACATACACATATAGACACCATTCTCTCTGTCAGTCTGACAAACAGACAAAGAAAGACACATAGAATATTCACACTCTGAGTACAGAATCAGTTACATTTGTTGCTACTTCATTCAGTATCTGGTTGTTTACATTATATTTAAGGTGAAAAGTTTTAGTTTCTTGAACTCAACTCGAACATGCTATTTTGTCTCATGTTAAAGTACATTAGGTATGGCAAGGATTAGGATCCAGAAAAAAAAGAGCTCTTTTGATTTAATTTTAAGAAGTTCTAGGGAAATTGAAAGATTAGGAATCAGTTGTTTAAGAAAGTCATGTAGAAATGTTGTTTGGTGAATTTAGTTGGATGTCCATCTCCCTGCGGCCAGGGACATGCTGAAGTTAGACAAGTCAATATTACGTGTTAAGTCCCAAAAATGGCTAGTACTTTCAGAGACCGATATATTGACATAGATTATAGCTTAATATTGCTATATTCATTAACTCAATAGGAGTAAAGGATGTACAGATAGGATGGGGAGATGAACTGCATAACTGCAAGTTCAAAGCTTTCTGCACTCAGTTTAGTCTGTGTGGGGTGTGCAAAAGAATGAACAACTGAGATGTCTCATCTCTAAGGGTTCTTCTTGATGACTTTTGGCCCGTTCAGTTTTTGCTTTTTGGATGCAGGCCAAGTTTTTGGTTTTGGTTAATATTAGTTCTAGTTGAGTAACATCCTTAAAGCTTCTTTAATGGCATGAGGAATGAGATATGTGGCTTCTTTTCTTCTTTCCTTGAATAGTGGCTGATGCAGATCTGAACTTTTTGTATAAAGCAATTTATGTTTGTAGAATCAGACACTGTAATTTTCCACAGGTTTGTCAAACAGAGAAGAAAGAGCATGTACATTTATGTTTCCAGGCCCTAAACATATGCTTTGGTCCTATTTACACTGCCATGGGACTGTGTTTGATTGACGCCCAACTCTTTTTATGCTTAGGTATGTGGATATGATAGCAAATCCTGAGGTAGCTGATATATTTCGCAAAAGAGCAAAGGTCAGTTTATCTTGAGCTGTTTTCTAATGTCTTAACTGGGTCAATTGGCTTATGGTATTCCTTGCATAATCCAATATGCCTTTTTTTCTTGTTATATTGCCCCATCTCTCTTTCCTTTACGTTCTTCATGCTGGCTTTTATTTTATTTTATTTTATATATCGTTCTTTTCAATTTAGTTATCAAAAGTGATATCTTTCCTGTCGCTAAATGATATGCATTATCTTGGTTAATCATTATTTAGTTGACTTTGAATAATTTGAAAAAAAAGTGATGAACAATATCGATTCGCTTTTTTTTGATTGGAAAGCTTTCAGACAAAATAATAAAAGTGGTGCTCTTACTTCAGAACATGCATTACCATCTTTCTTACTTTTCTCGATATTTTACTTTTTTTATGAAGCAATTTGGCTTCCTAAAATGAGGTTAATCAATTTTTGAACTTCTTCTGGTGAGTAGTTTATTGCTAGCTCTTTCCTTATGGCAAATGGAATGATGCCGGAAATTTGATGCTTTTTGGGACTTGTTAATATGCATATTATTGAGCTGCAAATAGTTTGTATTTTTTGGATGCTTCTATTTGAAACATTACATTCTTTTCTTGTTAAACTCTAGCATGTTTTTATGGTTATGATGCTGATATTTACTTTCCTTCAGTAGATTGTCTCAAAGATACGCAACACAGTGGAATCTCTAGGGTTCATTTCAGTTGAAACACCAGTGCTTCAGGTTGATATATTTCTCTCAATGTATCATGGTTTTAAATTAAGAGAAACTTGATTTTCATATGCGCTGGATTTGTTTTCATAGTACGAATTTGATGGATGAGAATTAGTTAACATTCTAGTTATTATTTGAAGCTTCTTTGGCTTTAATTTCTTGTAAGAATTTTTAATTGCTAAGAGATTCCAATTTTCATCTACTGGAATTGCCTGGTGTAAGTAGTGAGCA